TAGTTTTGCTTTATAGCTGGGGGTATTCTGCATTGCTGTGTAATGTATTATTGGGATTTGTAATCCTCTATACAGTTGCAGAGCTACCAGGGTCACATAGTTGCAGCTGTGACTGAGCCCTAGCATTCCGCCACTTGGGGGGCCAGACACGAAGAAGGGGGCCCTGGTAACTGCCAACATTGCAGGTTTCTGGGCCCCCCTTCCTTTAATTTGGGACACTCCATCCTTCACACTGTGCCTTGATCATGTATATCACAAAGCTCTACAGCAACAAAACATAGTAATGTGCAGTGTGGGTGACAGACCCATTTTAATGACAGTAATGTGCCAAATTTTGTTTGGCAGATATTCCATTGCTGTCAGGATGTGTAAAAAGAAAAAAAGGCACAAATGCTGTTATACATAACAAGCAACTGCAATTTAATGTGTCCTTACAATATTCTGTTCTGTGCGCAACACCTTATTTTCTGGCAGTGCCCCTCCAAACACTAGACTCTGCATATACCCCTGCCCACTTCGGGACTAGAATCTGATTTAATTGCGGATGGCATCAGCGCCAGTTGGTTGCGGTATTCAGGATTGTGGGTGGCATTGGACTGCATGTCGCAACTGCTGGGCGCCGATGCCATCCGCAATTAAATCAGCTCCCAGCGGTTGCGACATGAAGTCCAGTGCCGCTCACAATCCTGAATACCGCAACCGCCGGGCGTCGATACCATCCGCAATTAAATCAGATCTCAGCGCCTGGCTGTTGTGACATGTAATCTGATGCTGCCCACAATCTCCCTCTTCATCTCCTCCGCAACAGTCCCTTCCCTACAAATGCTCCTTTACCTGCCTCTGCTGGGGCCCGGCCTCTTGCACTGCCGAACCAGTGCTGCTGTAGCCTGGCCTCTCCCGTCGCTGGACTGGTGCTGTTGGGGCCTGGCGTCTCCCATCACCAGACTGGCACTGCTGGGGGCTGAACTCTCCCTTCACCGGACAGGCGCTGCTGGGGCCCGGCCTCTCCTGCTGCTGGACTGGTGCTGCTGGGACCCATCATCTATTGCTTCCAGACTGGTGTTGCTGGGGCCAGGGCCCAGCCTCCTCTGCCAGTGTTAGCAGGGGGGCACACAGGGGGGCAAGGAATAACCTAAGGGGGGAAATTGCCCTCCCTTGCCCCCCTGTAGCGACGATAATGCTTTAGAGAAGTGCACCTCTATCTGGTGTCATGTCCCAGAAACAGGGTTTCCTTGAACTTGCTCCTGAATTCTATTTTCAGTTTCTGATTGCTGTCGATTACTTATCTTGCCACTGTGATTCTGTTTGCTTTCTGAACTGACCTTTTGCATGTTTTTTATTATGATTCTGCTGCCTGTCCTAACTTCTTGCTTTGACCATAAGCCCGCCTCATGATTCTGTACATTGTCTTTATTCAGTCAGCTGTTGCCAGCCCAGGTGTATCTGAGGGCCACAACCTGGGAGGAAAAAAAGAAAGTAAAAAAGAAAGAAAGCTGCTGTACGGGCTATTCACTATAGCCTGTACAGCAGCCGAGCCAAACCCATAAGCTTCGGCTCGGCTGAGCCGTATTCACAGCCGAAGCGTGGAGAAAGGTCGGCTGAAGCCAACCGATCTCCATGCAAATGATAGTAGAGCCGAGCCAGCCGTGATCTCACAGCTTGCTCCACCCAGTTGTAATGACAGATTAACGTCCCCACGCTGATTTGTCATTAAACAATAACAACTGGGTGGAGCCAGCCATGACGTCATGGCCAGCTGTTATTTATTGGCTGGGACATGCTAAAAGATTCTGGCAGGTGCTGGCCAATTGGAAACAGTTGGGTGGAGCTAGCAGTGATGTCACAGCTGATATAATGCTAGCTCTGCCCAATTGTTTTTATTTTGCCGACATCTGTCGGATGCTTCATTATGCGGCGGGAGTCCGTCGCGTGCGGTGGGGTCTGTGTGTGTTGTTTTTTTCAATTCTTTTTTCTGTTCTTTAAAATAATTTTTTGTATTTTCCTATTTTTCAAATAATTTTTCAACATTTTCTTTTTTATTCATTCATTTAACTTTTTTTCTATTCTGCTTGCTACCTCGGAGGTACCAAGCATAGTAGCTCAGCTTGGCAACATTCGGTTATTCACTTACTGCCTGTGAGAAACATTATGCGCATGCTCAGAATGCCCAGAGTGGCATGCGCCCCTATGTGCATGTCCGGAAGACCCATTCTCAGTGTAAACGTGCGCAATACGTGCGTGCACATGCGCATCAGAAGTCTCCTTGGAAAGCGTGCGCAAGTCGCACCGGAAGTGACATCATGAAGCCCTATTTACACAGATCCATGGCAGATCTCTTTTGCTGATTGATCCTCAGCTATTCCTGTGTTACTTGCTCCTGTGATTCTGTACAATTCCTGTTTATTGACCCAGCTTGTGTTGACCATTCTTCTGTCTGCTGTTTATACTTGCTTGACCCCCGGCTTTTACCTCTGCTCATTCCTGACTCCACTTCTGGCTCCTGATTCTGTAATGCTGCTCCTGATTGCCTTGACCCCAGCTTGTGACTCCGACTCAGCTCCAGTCTCCTGCCTCGGTACCTCGTCTCTATCTGGTTTCCTACTATCCAGGCACCAGTGCTACCTTGTGTCCTTCTCTCCCTGTCCCCATATCCAGGGAAGTTGGACACGGACACAAGGGATGCCACCTCCTCCATCGGGTCTCACTCCAGATACGTGACACTGCCGTTCGACCCGTATGAGAATAGGGGCGAACTGTAGCAAGTGAGCTGCTGGAGCTTCGGCTTAGCTGAACCAGATGTTGGATCGAACTCCTTATGCACTTCGGCTCAGCCGAACATGCAGAGCATGTTCAGCTGACTGAAGGCAGCCGATGTACAGCCTATTTTTAGCTGGTGTACGTTCGGCTCACTTCACTTCGGCTTGTTTTTTCACTCAACTGCCTTCAGCAGCTAAGTGAATAACCCCCTATAATTGTTTTTCACATGTTGTACATATATGTATATATATATATATATAGTGATGTTTGAGGAACTAGCTGGACCGCAGAACACACGCTTTATCAGACAAACTGCATTTATTTTCCACAGCAGCAACATAAACAGTCCTTTCTGTCTTCAGTACAGCAAAACAACTTTAAAAGATTGCTTTCTTCAGCATAGAAATGATGCACTTTACAGTTTGCCTTCTTCAGCACAGAAAATAACAATAGCTTCACCTGCTTGGATGGCTTCAGTCTACAAGGTTATCACACTCTTAACCTTAGAGTTTCTCTCAGCCCACCGGCTCCCAGTAATCACTGTTAAGGTGTACACAACTGAAGAGCTAAAGGGAATCCTCCACCATTTGACTTTTTGCCATGAGAAAGGGGGGCACTTGGTGTTAAATGGGTTGGTGAAACTTGGTGGCAGTGTTGACAAAAAAAATAATCAGGTTTTGAGAAGCAGTGTTGAATTGCCTGAGTTATCGTACAAAGTTGTAATGTCAGTTAATGTGATGCAAACGTGGCATGTAAAAGTTGTGGTATCACCTGAAGAGGGACTGCCATAAAATTATGCATAATGAAAATCCTTACAGGATGTATAAATAGAGAAATTTAAAATGTATATCTTACCTACATACTATTAAACACATTTTTTGACTAGGAGACATCAATTTGCTCCCTGCTTTAATAAATAGTATGAAACCTAAATCACAGGATTTTATTTGTGAGAAAAAAGGAATGATTGAAAATCAAAATTACATGTTTACCCTAGTGCTAATTGCATATTTCTTTCAGAAAATGATTAACGTTAATCTCTTTTTATATATGTGATTAAAGAAATATTTGTCTAATCTTCTGTCCGCCAAGAAACCACAACTTGATCAATTGCCTAAGTAAATGCATCCCTTGCTAATAATGTGCTGAAAGCAAAATATGTTCATTTTGCAGATTATCTAATAACACATAGTTAAAGCATTTGGTCTTAGTATAGCATACTGCATAAACAAAATATGTTTACTAGTTTTTGCAAGTGCCAATTTTTACTGGTAAGGATAGGATTTAAATGGTAATGTCGGTTTGGAGGGCACAAGGATTGGTATTTAGGGGACAAGTCAGAGCTCACTTACTGACTGACTTAAAGGAGAACTATGGGGTTAAGGCTTTTCCCCATAGTTCTCCTTAGGGTAACGGGAGGACACAAACTAGCGTCCTCCCGTCACCCTAGGCTCAGTATACCGCGAGCTACAGCTCGCGGTATACTGATACAACGCAGTATACCGCGAGCTGCTGCTCGAGGTATACTAAGACGCCGCAGCTGCAGCGGATTCCGACAATTGTGCCGGGATCCGCCCAGCTGTGTGACTGACAGCTGGCTCTGCCTATCTAGAGGCAGAGCCAGCTGTACCCGCCCCCTCCCCTGTCCGTTCCGCCAGTCAGCGCTGGCGGATCGGAGCGGGGAGGGGGGAATCCAGCCCCTCCCCTGTCATGGCAGAGAGCCATGACAGGATCGAGAGGTGAGCGAACGTCGATATGTGTTCGCTCACCTCCCGATCTACTGAGTCGACCTGTGACAGTCTCATTGTCACAGGTCGGCTAGAACTATGAGGCGAGTGAAAAGCACTCACCTCATAGTTCTCCTTTAAGAAACTGCAAGCATTATGTTTCAGGGGTCCCATGATGCTCTGAAAGGTAAGTGGAAATGCATTTATAATAGCATTTTAGAAGGTTTAGGTTAATGATAGGGTTTAAGGCTTTATGAATACTGCTAATAACTATCACTTGATCAACAGAATGAAATCTATGTCAGCCTGTGTTTATCATTTTACTCATAATTAATTAAAATGGTTGTTTTGGGTTTTTTTAAAGACTGAAATTTGTATATCCTTGTAAGTACATTACATTTATTTTTGAGAAACACAATAATGGTTATGGCATTTGTGAAAGTTAGAAACCGATAAAAGATATTATTTGCTTGATGATTGTTTTATTTATTTTAATATCTCTCCTTGTAATTGCAGGTTGACAAGATGGCCAGTTTATATAATATCCATTTTCGAACAGGCTGTTTCTGCAATGCTGGTGCCTGCCAGAAAATGTTGGGAATTAGCAATGCTGAAGTAAAGAGTAATTTGCAGGTCAGTCAGATATACATATAGTGATTACTCAGGTGTAATTACTAATACTGCTAATAACAGTAGGCAATATGGTTTATTTTTACAAACAGCTAAATTAATAAGCATCCTGCCCCACAAGCTAATTTCTAATTATGGATCATATTATCCTATTATCTCTTTTCTACATATTTTCATAAAAGGTTAATATTTGAAAACGTGACTTAAACCCCACCTCTGCGCAAATGTTGAAACCCCCCTCCCATACTATCCTCCAACCCATTCACAAATCTTTTTTCTTAAAAAAAGACCCTTTTACTTACCTAACCTTCATGTTACCCTCAATGGTGCCTCATCCAGTAGTGAATACCAGTGATCCACTTTTTTAGTGTGTTTTTGTGGCCACTCCTCATCTTGGCTGCCATTGGAGTCTGGGGACCATGTGAATACCTCACTGCCAGCCAATGGGAAGTGTCCACAACAACAGGGAGCAATGTGGGCACCTGAAGAAGGGCCCTCCCACTCTGCAGTCCAGAAGAAAGAAGACTAGGACCTGGAATGTCACCATAGAGAACACAGAGTTTGGTAATATAATGTTTTTTATGGATGTTTCTCCTGCACTCCTTACAGCATCTGGAACCAATAATCAATGTGGTACTCATAGTGATAAACACGAATGGTGCCATGTGTCTAAGTGCAGAAAAATGGAAAACCACCAGCACCCGGAAAATGTCATTTTTATCTTGCTGATCATTTATTGATGTCACATGTATCAAAAAAGCCAACGTTTCGGGCCACATAGGGTCCCTTCATCAGGGCAACATAGTGGCCTGCACATATTATAAGGGCTATATGATATTAATTTAAATGGCACACTCAACAAAATGGAAACCAAAAATCAAACACTAAATTATGCTATGATGTTACATATGTAACAAAAATGATAACAGTGATCACACATCAAGCTTCTACTTATATTTGCAAGTAGAGTCCATTTATACCCCCTCAAACTTTGCTTCACGTAGACATAAGTGACTATAATCCCCAGATTATACAGCAACATGGCTGATTCCAGGTATCCTTCATCGCAATGCAATATGAGACACCACATGGCCCTAAGTAGTCTTCTTACTTTCTTTTGCTGTCTCAGCTAAAACGCTACACTACCAGTCTATCTTCAGCATCTGGGAAAAGTGAGGGTGGCCGTAAGAAATAGCAACAGCTGCATATTCAGTAGAAATCCCACAATCAATTTGTTCATGGAACAGCCCAGGCAGGCCCCTTTCTTTATATATTTGTGCTTGGAGGGGTGTCATTGCTTTAAAATGCTATTAGATGTCATAACAAGTTCTTCCTTTATGAGGCATCTCACTCTGTCTGATGGTGGTGTTCAGGATTGTGACAAATCGGATGATGGATTGGTGGTAGGATGGGAGAACACATTGAAGGAAAGAGGAGGATGTTGACACAACATAGTAGGCAGATCAGCCTGCTTTTTCTATTGGATCCCATTATTTGTGTCATTAGCCATGCACAGTTTTCCTTCATTTATAGACCCATCCAGTACACACCACCAAGATTACCTGACGAGTGGCTACTGGCACCACCAGTAGCTTCTACTCTACCTACCTATACAAAACAAAAGGAGAAAAATAATCATATTAGTTGATCACCCATTGCATCTAAAGAAGCATCACAGTATCATAAGTATATGTGCACAGAGTTTTTTTTTAAAGAAACTAAACAGGTTTTAAAACATCTAGGGGAACTAATACTGTTTATCATGTTTAGTCATTGTCCTATAGTAGAATAACTTTGGGAGAGACATCTACTGATGGTATTGCATAATAAATAAGTATCTGTGAGTACTTTTAAGCATTGAGGAAACATTCCATGTGCAGAAATGCAGCCCCAAACCTGTAAGGAAACTTCCCCATGTGTCACTGTTGTCTGCAGACACTCATCGCTGTAACACTCTCCAGGCCTTTGGCAAACACACTGCTTTCTATTATAACCAAATATTTCTGATTCAAGTCCATAGCAATTGCTGTTGTTTTTCCACAATTTATCACTGATATGGAGCAGGGGCGGACTAACCATACGGGCAGTCGGGCATTGCCCAAGGACCCGCGGCTAAAGAGGGGGCTCGTCACCGACCCCCTGTCCCCTTTTCAGCCCTCATGGCAGAGGACACGGGTTTATTAAAGCAGCAACGGCAGTGTCGCCCGCCTCCCGGGCCCACTATATACACTGCCGTTGCCGCTTTAGCAGAGTCGCATCTCCTTCAGCGGCGCGGACGAGGAGAGCTCCGAGGTGGGGGTGTGCCACAGTGGATGGGGGCGTGTCGCAGTAGACTGAGGGCGGACATACCACGGAGGGCGGACGGAGGCACAAGATCCTCATGTTAGGGGGGCCCCACTGAGATCCGGCCCTGGGCCCCCCACTGGAGCAGTTCTACAAAAACCCCGACTGGAATCTGGGGATCGGGAGCCCTGATGCTGGTAAGTGAATTTAATAACTTTTTTTTTTTAGCTGTAAACTGTTAACCTTTTAGTCTCCATTCACATACAGCATTTGCGGTTTTTCATATGGGAGCCCGCACGGGACGCAAACGCTATATGTGAACTGCATGAATTCTGCTAGTTTGCGGCCATTATATAGTTGTGAACGTGCGGAATTTGCTGAATTATCGCTCTTGCAGTATTTTGGGGGTTGCACGGGTTAAAGCTTCATTCACACTGGAGCGGATATTCAAATACGAGCGGAGCCGTTCTAAAGAGAAAAAACAATGCACTTTTATGTGCTTTATCAGACTATTGTGGGAAATCGCACGGTACGAAACCGCACAGCCCCCAAAACAGTGCAAGCGCGATAATCCAGCAGATTCTGCACGTTCGCAGCTATATAATAGGAGCCGAAGTGAAGTGAGCTGAACGCTGTTCGGCTATTCAATTCAGCCTTGTACATCGGTTGCCTTCAGTCAGCCGAACATACAAAGCATGTTGGGCTGAGCCGAAGTGCAGGAGGAGTTCGACTCAGCCGATCCAACATCTGGATCGGCTGAGCCGAAGCTCCGGCAGCTCACTCACTGCTGTTCACCCCTATTCTCATAGGGGCGAACGGCAGTAAGTAAATAGCCAAATGCCACAAACGGCATTAAAAATTTTTAAAATATTTGAAAGAAAAAAAAACGACGCAATCCTGTTTCCTATTGGCCGGCACCTGCCAGAGTCTTCTACTAGGTCCCGGCCAATAAATAACAACTGGGTGGAGCCGGCTGTGACGTCACGGACGGCTCCGCCCAGTTGTTATTGTTTATTGACAGATCAGCATCCCCATGTCATTTGGGGACGCTGATCTGTTATTACAACTGGGTGGAGCCAGCCGTGAGATCACGGCTGGCTCCGCCCAGCTGTCATCTGCGTGGAGATCGGTCGGCTTCGGCTGACCTTTCTCCCTGCTTCGACTGTGAATACGACTCAGCCAAGCTGAAGCCTATGGGTTCGTCTCGGGTGAGCCGCTCGGCTGCTGTAGGGCTATAGTGAATATTGTGAATCGCCAGTACAGCAGCCCTTTGGCTGTGGATGGGGCTTGTATATGGGTGGAGCACAAGGGGGCCCCATAATATTGTATTGCATGGGGGCCCCATGTGTTGTCAGTCCGCCCCTGATAAGTTCTGTTTTTGGTCTCGGGGCCTAGATGCTTTGTAGAGCTTTGGTGGAATAAAGCCTCCATTCCAAGGACCATTTCTTACCTGGTAGACAGACCTCAATATTATTCTCAGCTGTCCACAGGCCTTTATACATGCAAGCTGACTGATTCTCAATGCTTTCTTGTTCCATCTCTCTTGCTCACTCTGCTGTGGGAGCCTGCTGCTTGGTGAAAAGGCAAAGTGCTGACACAATACTACCCAAAAGGTACAACTGCTGCCTGCTTATCTAGGGGAACCCATTGGAATCACCATGTTAAACAGGAGCTTGCCTAAGTTTACTGTAGTTTAGTGGCTCAGACAAGCAGATGTTTTGTGTGTTTTATGTTCTGGACTTGCTGTACAAAGCCCTACAGCATTGCACCTATGTTTGTTTGCTGCCTCTCTGAATGAAAGTGCTGTACAAACCTGCCTGGACTGTTCCTGTGTGTCCCGGTCATCCAGCATGGTTTGCCACTGCTAATACCAGTTGAGTCCCCCTTACAATATATATACAGAGAAATTATTTCCTCCACCAATAACATCCTTATGGATGGAAACTCACTAAAGGATGATTGACACATAAGTTAAAATAGAGTGCCTGAAGTGCTTTGTTTTTAAACATAAATTCCCTATTCTTTTACAGTATTTAGAAAACCAAACATACCAAAGTACATGTCCCTTATCACCTAAGTTTCTATGTTATATCTGTTCAACCAAAAAAAAGTATAAACTACATCTCCTACAATGGTGTTGACATATGAAATGTACATGGAACTTAATGCCTGGGAAGATCTGTTATTTACCTTTTTAAAGGTACTGTAAACTAATATAGCCTCAATTTTTTGTTATTCTTTTCTTTGCGCTGGTGGCTTGATGCACACTAAAACATTTAGTTAGCAACTAAATGTAGTTAACAGCTAATAGCAGGCTGGCTATTGCACCTGCCCACTGAGCAGAGGAGCAGACGTGAGAGAGAATGTTCTCCCTCAGTGTCCACTGCACTTCTCAGTGGACGGGTGCAATAGCCAGCCTGCTATTGGCTATTACAATTTGAAATAGAGGGGGTGGTTGCTTGAAAATTACTATTACCTTTCAGTCAACCAAAAACTAGGGTGCCGGATAACTGGGAGTTTACTGTAGTATGTTACCACAATGATTAAAATGTATGTGTTTGTTTGAGAAGAAAACTATTCTATCTTACAATGGCCCGCTGTTTGAACACCATTGGAAAGGTGTCACTTTTTTCTGCCACTAGAAAGACCCAGTTCTTATCTAAGCCCAGTTCTTTCTGGACCCACCCTGACCTGTGTCTGGACAGTAAAAGGAGAAGTAGCACAGTGATGAGCTCATCACTGTCACATTATCTTCTTGTCAGCACATTAACTGATTGGCTTCCTGTACTGCTTCCTCCTCACTCTCCGACCCTGTTGTACAGGGACTATAAAAGAGTCTGATACCAGGTCAAATCCCAGTACTAACACCATTTCCATTTGATGATGTATTAATGATTACAGAGCTGAATTGATTTGTGTCTTTTATATCTGCCTAGAGTTTAGCTTTATAAGGTTTGTGTTTTGTCACTAAAAATTAAACAGAATTAACAGTTTCACATTTATCAATTCCAGGCTGTGAGCTTGAAAGCTGATGTTATGCAAAGAAAACATTAGTGTACTGATTGGTGCCGCATTTCAGAATATTTTCCACATGTTTTAAATTTAGATTTTCAAGTTTACAGTAAATATTGCAGTGCTATTAAGATAGAGTACAGAATTTGGTTACACAATTGTTAAAGCAATTGTTATATTGATTGATTGGTGTAGCCTTTGCTGATGGCCAATATACATAATTAGATTTTCTTGTTACCTCAAGCTGGGAGCTTCTGTCTGCACATAGAGTTGCACCGCGCTCAAATCGTTATAGTAATGAATATGGTGATAGATAGGATATGGCTTGTTAATCTCATCAATGGAATTACCAAAGATAAAAATAGACCACAACATGTTTTTTTAATGTGGTATTATTTGGTTTTATTAGATCACAAATAACTAAGTTCAATTTTTGAAAATTGTTTACAAAACATGCTTATCCATATCATTTTAATATTACATTCCTTTTTTTTTTCTCCTCAAAAAGGCTGGACATATATGTGGTGATAACATGGACATCATTAATGGTCGACCTACAGGCTCAATCAGAATATCATTTGGTTTTATGTCTACATTTGAAGATGCTCAAGTATTTTTAAATTTTATTGTAGACACATTCATTAAAAAATCATCATATGGCTCTGCCCAAATGTTTGATGTTGAAAAGATTGCCAGAATCAGCTTGTTTCAAACAGAAAGCAATGAAGAACAAAGCATCAGTGCAAATGGCAACATCTCAGATGTGGGTGTCCCCCAAAATACTAAATTTTCCAAATTTTCTGAAGCAGAGCATATTTGTGCCTGTAAAGGAAGAGGAAATGTGTCTAAAAATGACAAGCCAATCACACTCAGTCATATCTACCTTTACCCTATCAAATCGTGTGGAGCATTCCAGGTAAGATACTGTATATTTTGGTATTATTAGCATTTACTAAGAAATAAATACAGTGCATGATGTGGATAATTATCACAATGGCTTATTATTAAAAAAAAGGTATGATTAAAAAGTAAATTTCACTCATGCCCAACTACTTCTTATTTTTAAATTGATCAATCATACCCTTGGATGATCTATCCTTTGGCTGACATAAGCATACTCTGTATATTGACTATTGTCATGTACATTGCAATCATATTTATCAGCAGAGAATGGTAGACATTTTCCAACTTATTTAGACATGGTAATAAAATGAAGAAGAAAAGGGCAGCTCCAGGTTAATAATAAAAATTACCCTCTCAGGATAAAACTACTGGGTAGCGAAAAAAGTAAAGCAAGCACCTGACTGACTAAAAGAAGCAAACATCTAATGGACAAAAACACTAGGCAATAGGTTCTAAACCATGCGTGATTTATTTGATAGTAGAATTGTATAGCCAATGCTTTTTGGAACAATAAAAAGATGCCTTTAACAGGATTTAGATTAAAATTACTTATTGTATTACTTATTGTACTACTGTATCAAGGTCACCACCCATCCAATATTATTTTGAAAGATATAATTATTAGAAGATGAACTAAAGAGTATTAAGTAAAATTAGTTGTTATTGTTATACAGGAGTTATATAGCGCAGTTACATAGTTACATAGAGAGTTATTCACTTACCTGCTGAAGGATCTAGCCATAGCTGCGGCTGAACCTTAGGCTCACTTCAGCTGCCGTAGACCTTCAGTTCAGTCGAACTGAAGGGCTGCTGTACGGGCTATTAGCAATAGCCCATACAGCAGCCGAAGACAGCCGTGCCGGACGCATAAGCTTCAGATCAGCTGAGCTGTAGTCACAAACATTTTCAATTATGCAGCGCCAACACAGTTGTAAATATGTGATTGATTAAACTGTACAATGTGAATATTGTGTTATTCAGTGAAACAAAATCATATGAATGTGAAACTATATCATAAAAACAAAGTGAAAAGTCCAACGTGTGTTGTGTATTTCTTTTTTTCTTTCAAACACCGTGAATAACAATATAGTGTTCCAAGCGTGGGCAAATTGTAAATTCAGGGAACAGTTCCGTGATGTTTGTTGGGGATGCAGGCAAATACCGTGCAAATCCCCTCAGGGTATATACTCACCACAATGTAGTGGCTGTGGTAAGCAGCCTGAAGAGCTTTTAAAGAAATGGATTCTCCTGAAGTTGTGGCGTCCTCGCTGTAACTTTCAGCGGTCAGGGGCTGCCTGCAATAACGGACGATAGCAGAGAAAATAAATTGGTCTCCAAGATTGGCACTTGTTTTCCCCTGTCTTGACCTATATGGTCATTATTGCTGCAGCCTTCATACTTGATCACTTTATTTTTGATACAGTTTATAATCCATTGTTTCACGGAACAATCACGATTCACAATATATTGTACAGTCACTGTTACATTGTTCACATTGTATAACATATTGATTTATTCTGTGTTGGCGCTGCATAATTGAAAATCTCTGAGCTGTAGTCACAGCCAAAGTGGGGAGAAAGGTCTTCCGAAGCCGACCATTCTCCCCGCAAATGAAGACAGCTGGGAAGAGCCAGCCATGATGTCTCAGTTGTTGTCCTTCGAAGACAGGCCAACGTCCTCCGGTTATTTGAGGACACTGGTCTGTCATTTAATGACAACTGGGTGGAGCCAGCTGTGACATCATGGCTGGCTCCACCCATTCCTACAATTTGTCCGGGACCGCCAGGTGCCCACCACAAAGCAGTACATTATACAGCAATGCAGAATACCAACAGCTATAGAGGACTACAAATCCCAGCAATATATTAAAGAGTGATGCAGAATAATATGAAGCTACATACTGTGTGTTGCTCCAGGGTGGCAGCCTGATGTCTGCAGGGTTTTAGGATGGCTGTGTGAAGTCTCAGGGGGGCTGTGCTGAGTCTCAGGAATGCTGTATGGGTTCTCAGGTCGGCTGTGCAGAGTCTTAGGATAGCTGTACGGGGCCTCAGGTGGGCTGTGGGAGTCTCAGGTGTGCTGTGGGAGTCTCAGTTGGGCTGTGGAAGTCTCAGGTGGGCTGTGCCGGGGCATAGGTGGCCTGTGAGGGGGCTCAGGTTGGGCTGTGCGGCCTATTATTATTAATTTTCATTCATTTTATTATTTTTTTACTTTTAATCATGTTTTCGTTTTATAATTTTTTAACTTTTTATCATTTTTTTCATTTTAATTTATTCTTTTTTACTGTTTTCACTCAACTTTATTGCTATTACACAGGGGAGAACAAGACCCTGTGTCATAGCATTCTGAGGTGACAGGTTCTCTTTATGAGCCTGCCCTCCAGCACCGAAGATAGACTTGTGCTCTATCTTCTGTACAGCTCAGGCTGCAACGGCTGACACAAGAGCGCTGTACAGCGGTCCTGTGTCACTGATCACAGAGAAGAGCAGAGATCAGACATTCGCTGCTCTGCTCCCCACTCTCTATCCTGAAGGTATTTGCAGTGTGCTGGGGTCCCTCAGAAGCGCGGGGACCCCAAAAAACCACAGCACAGAGGGAGGCAGCCAACAAGGGGGCGGACCATGGAAGAGGGGGCCGGACAAGCAGGCTGCATACAAGTGATTTCAGAAGCTGTATAGCCACTGAAATCACTTGTACAAAAGAGCAATCCCTGCCCAGCGCATAA